GGTCTTCAGGGATGAAGGCCATATGTCTTCCTCACGTTGAACTTTTTACCTGAGTCCCAAAACTAGTTGTTCTCAGCACATTTCGTAAGGTATCTTGTCCTCGAATTCCACAAGGGGCTTCCTCACCAGATGGTCCTTGTTAGATACCCTTATCACTAGTGTTCTTGTCAATTATTTTTGGTTTATGTTCTTTTACAATGAGTACTACACAGCCTCCACCTTGGCAGCCTTTGTTCTTTTACAGCTGGTGCTAGACCACTCCCCCTATCTTGTGTACCATAGGCCTCTGACTAACTGCCACCTAACGACCCTGAGAGATTGTTTCTCATGGGATGCTGCTTCTCCTATCAATTCCCCTTCACAGCTCAAGGGACGCTATTTTCCTTCCATCAGGTGTGTAGGGATATAATGGAAGATGGGCGAGGAGGACTGTAGGTACGCTCAAGCGACTTGCACCTAAGGTGTTGGAAAACACACACATCATGCTGGATTACTCCTTGGCCTTGTGTGCTCGACAAGCAGCACACCCATGCTTAGATAACAGATGCCTGGGATAGATGCGGGAACATCTCTCACAGTCCTGCCTTGCAAAGCTGTTGTGTGAGTCCTGGGAACTCAGGCAGAACAGCAAGTAAAACAAATCAAAGCACTGGGATAAATAGCCCACACTTTCTAGCAAGGAGATATTTCCTCATGCCTGTGCTGCTGCTTGTCGTGCTGCTCGTGTGATTGCTGCCTGTGTGCCTCATATGGGTGCTGCTGTAAGGATTCTTCACGTTTTCAGGTAGCGAGAGTAAATCTACTCTTTGCATTTCAGACATGGTTTGTGGTTGCTCCTGCATCCGACCTGTTTCAGCCCACACAAGGTGTTGTTCCAGGGAGCTGAGGAAGGACACGGAAGACGTGTATGAAACAGGGGACAGTTCGGTTTCTAGAAGAAATAGCAACATGCCCAGTAGGTTAAGGATGCCAGGGCAAAATATGAAACCTCAGTGGGGAAAAAAGCCCATCAGCAGGTATGGAGAAGAGCAGGTGGTTCTAGCTGAGGAGGTGAGGACTCCACTGTGAGCTGACTGGGAACAGCTTTTTCCCATGACTGGGGCCCCCATAGCCCCTCACTGTGGAAATGTTGAGAATGTCATTGGCTGGGGGAGCCACAGGTGTTGCTGCTGGAGGAAAGAGAAAGCCAGAAGGAGCATTTGAAACACAGGAAGAACAGACTGTTTCTCTTTCACGCTTCTTCCTTTCCCCCCCCAACAGAGTCATTTCCAGCAGCTCTACTATCTCAGGGCTGGGAGGTGCTTTTCATACTCTCTCTCACTCAACAGCCAGCTTGGTCTCAACATGCACCTCAGACATCTCCTCCTCCCTGTCTTCCTGGGGCAACTGCTGGGTAAGTCCTACCTTTTCACCAATGCATCCATTCTCTTCCCCCAGGAAACTCTCAGCAGCCTTATCAGGTTTATGTGGGGAAATGTTTTTGAACAGCAGAAAAAAACCAAGAACTATTGTATCTCATTTGAGGTTTTGCACCAATCTCTCAAGGTGCTCTTAGTTTTGGGAATGAAAGGAGAAGAGAGAGAAGACATACCTCAAACTCTTACTACAAAATAAGCAAATCCTTTCCAAGGTACTACAGGCATCTTAAAAATCTAGCTCCCACTAACACAAATAAAGGTGTGACAGGCTATGCCCTTCCAGCTGGCACATGTTAGCCATGGCTTCCAGTTTCCTCCTGGATGACAACTCAGCCATGGATACCTCTTTCCAACCTGAGCTTTGAGTGTACTCAAGGAACAAGGTGATGACAGGGATGGAGAAGAATAATGAATCCTTTTGCTGTAGCTCCATGTCCCTCAACCTGCTGGAGGGGTGCTGGTCCTAGAACACAAAGGTCAGGCATGACCAGCTGTTCCCTGCTCCTCTGGGCAGTAGGAGAAAGAGCAGAGAAGAGAAGCAGGGACACAGTTTCCATGTTGAAGTAACATCTCTGAACTCCTAGCTGAAACTACCCTACACCTGACTGTCCCAGGCTTCAGGATATTTTTCCAAAACAAGGGACAGGGAACCTTCTCCACCTGGGTTTTGCATCCACTCCTCATTTGCTTCCCAGAGCCTTTCTTTGCAGAACTGCTGACCTTCACTTTCTTCCAGGCACCATGGGGCAGATCACCATCACCCAGAAAGAAGCACAAGTCACAGTGAAGCGAGGAGACACCTTCCAAACAACATGCACGTACCAGACCTTGTACTTTCAAGGCTTGCTCTGGTACCAGATGAAGAAAGGCCAAGCTCCCCAGCTCATCTCGTATCAGGCAGTAGCTGGCTCCAGGCCAAGCGGCCGTTTCACCACGTTTCTGAACACCACGGGGAAATACAGCCTCCTGCAGCTGCAGGAAGCCCAGCTCTCTGACAGCGCCTTGTACCTCTGTGCTGTGCAAGACACGCTGGTGCAGGGAGCTTCCTTGGCTGTGCAACAACCCAGGGGAGGGAGGGGGGGTTTCTATGACGTGAGATTGAGCTTGGGGGAGCTGGCCCTCAGAAATCCCCTGGCATCCCTCTTTCCCCTGTGCACCCAGAGATCTGCAGACTGACATCTTCTTCCAGGAGGTGATAGTGTCAGTGGCTCTGGAGATGGCTGACCCTGCCTGTAGGGCAGAGCCTGCTGGGAATCAGGATGCCAGAGGCTTGCTCTTAACCCCTCAGGCTCAGTGCTTGTAAATTCCCGCAAGCCCATGACTACTTAGGTGCATCAAGCACTGTCCAGCCCCACCCAGAGGCCACTACAGGGCATTTTGGTAGAGATTTCTAGGCTCATTTGCTCTCTCAAGACATAAAGAAGAGTTCCTCTACCAGCAGGTGGAGGAAGGTCATCCTCCCCCTGTCCTCTTCCCTTGTGAGACTGCATCTGGAGTACTATATGCAGTTCTGGTCTCACTGTTTCCAGAAGGACAGGGAACTGCCGGAGAGGGTACAGAAAAGGACTACGAAGATGATTAGGTGACTGGAGCATCTCTCTTATGAGGAAAGGCTGATGGACTTGGGCCTTTTTATCCTGGGGAAGACTGAGGGGGGACCTTATCAATACTTATAAATACTTAAAGGATGGATGTCTGGAGGATGGTGCCAGTCTTTTTTCAGTAATGACCAGTGACAGGATAAGAAGTGATTGGCATGCATTTGAACGGAGGATGTTCCATTTAAACATGAGGAGGGACTTAGACTCATAGAATTATAGAAGAGTTTTCATTGGAGAGAGCATCAAGATCATCAAGTCCAACCTTTGCTCTAGCCCTATCAACGCCACTAAACCATGTCGCTCAGCACAACATGTACCCATCTCTTTAACACTTCCAGGGATGGTGACTCAACCCCCTCCCTGGGCAGGCTGTTCCAATGCCGGACAACCCTTTCAGTAAAGAAATTCTTCCTGATATGCAAACTGAACCTCCCCTGGCACAACTTAAGGACATTTCCCCTCATCCTGTCACTCGCCACTAGGGAGAACAGACCAACCCTCACCTTGCTACAACCTCCTTTCAGGTAGTTGCAGAGAGCGATAAGGTCTTCCCTCAATCTCCTCTTCTCCAGGCTAAATAGCCTCAGATCCCTCAGCCATTCCTTGTACGATATGTCTTCCTAATCCTTTATTAGCTTGGTACCCTGCCTCTGTACCCTCTCCAGCACCTCAATGTCCCTCTCTTAGTGAGGGGCCCAAAACTTGACACCTCTTTACTTTGAGAGTGGCAGAGCACTGGAACAGGTTGCCCAGAGAGGCAGTGGAGTCTCAGACTCTGGAAATATTCAAAACCCACCTGGAGGCCACCCTGTGAAACCTGCTTTAGGCAAACCTACTCTGGCAGAGGGGTTGGACTAGATCTCCAGAGGTCCCTTCCAAATCTAACATTCTGTGACCCTGTGATTCTGTGTAAATGGATTGGACTCAAGCCATAGATTTATCTTGAGATGTTCAGCCTGTCCCAGTACAAAGTCTGTGCCTGAGTGGCAGAGCAAACCACAGAGAACAGCCCCAAATGCCAAAGGCCAGGAGTTCTCCGTATTTGTAAGTAATAAGCAAAGAGGCCAACTGGCAAATGCAGCCTTAAAACCCCCTGGGCTCTTTGCAGTCTCCTCAGGGGAGTTAGAAGGATCTGTGGTCACCTGGAGCTCCTACAAAGGGAGTGATGTTGTAGTGATCAGGCCCAGTAGCAGCAGGGGACTGACTGTCTGGGACAAGCCAGTCTTGCATCAGGCTGCTGAAAGGGAATTTTTATGTTACTCCTTGAGGTGAATTAAACACATGTTTGTGCTTCAATAGTAAAATAAATAATTAATAAACAATGTTTTGGGTAGAGTCCTACTGCCATAAGTAGTTCTACAGGGGATCTGCAAAGATGCACTACAGGCAAATTCCTTATACACCCTTGCATCAGCACAAGTCCTGTGAGTGGTTGGATGGGGCACCTTAGTCCAGCCATGGGTCCATCTCCCAGTGCAGCTCTTCTGTTGCTAAGTACTCTCATTCCAAGATGGCTACGAGACAATATTAAGGCTATTTCTTATCTCATCAACCAGGGACACTTCACTCTCTTACAGGGAGTTATTCTGTCACTAGCACCAATGTTTTCACCAACATTTACATACTAGTAATTTGTTCATCTTGACCACTGTGAAGAACAGGAGACGCATCAGTCCTGTTTGACAGCAACTAGGTTTGTTTGGTATCAAGACAGAGACACCTTAAAAATGGTTCTATTTATTTCCCTCTTGAACTTCAACCGTGGCAGCTGATGTAAAGTTACTCCAGCTTTTCATTCTCTTAGATGCAGGACTAACAATAAAAAGGAACAAATGCAGATGAAGAAAAGCTTGACACAGGCAGTCCCAGCATGGGTAATCCATGGGCCTTCATTTCTCTGTGCTCTCAGAGGAGACAGCCACAACCTCAACCTCACATTAGCAGGTGTCTCATCTACCTCAGTGGTAGAAACAAAGAAAGCTGGACAATCTCCTTTGTCCTTGAAAGCACACTGCTGAGAAGGTAAATCAGGCAGCTGCCATTTGTGGTAGATATGAAGACACAGGAGGGTATTTGTGGGTTGCACAGGAGTAATTCAGTCGATTGTGTTTTCATTACAGGAAAGAGATGTGTTGAGATCTGAGCCACAGGGTTTTATCTGGACATTCAGCCCTTGTTCACATGTAACATGTGTTCATGAGTGACAAAGTCAAAGTCAGAGACGATCCTTGGTGCTGCAGCTCCAGGAATTCCCCACCTGACAAGCAGATATAATCCCTAAGTCTGACAAGTTCCTGCCCATCCCTGGTGATCTCCGCAGGGTGGTTGGTGAGGTCTGGGACCTGTTCCAGCTTCAGTGCAGTGAGAGGTGCTGCCCTGACATGCTCACATGGCAGCAAAGGGTTGTGTGTCTGGGTTGAGCCAGATGTTCTGCAGCTGCGGCCGTGTCGGGGTTGAGCCAGATGCCCGGCGGCTGCTGCCAGTGCTGAGGCTGGGACAGCAGAGAGGAAGCTGGGCTGATGCAGTTGCCTTAAGACAAACTCTCTCTCTTCCAAAGGCAAATTAATCTTAATTAACAGCTGGCATCAGAAGGAGATTTCAGACTGCCTGAGAAAAGCCCTGAAATCTGTCAGGCAAAGTTGATCATTAGAGCTCCCGGAGCTGCTCTGC